CAAGAGACTATGTCTCGGAAAGCAGCACATCGTGTGAAACTGTCAAATGATCTGATTTGAGCCTTTCTTTGCTCCACCAGCTGGAGTTTGAGCGGCAGGTGGCAAGCTTGAAAGCAGCCAACGCGGCTGAGAACGACTTCTCAGTGTCCCAGGCGGAAATGACCTCGAGACAAGCCATGCTGGAAAACGCCTCAGACATTAAGGTACCCCGGTTTTATTTCGCACTCCGCTCCCTAGCTTTGCTTCTCTAGCTCTTCCGCGTTCTCCATTTCTCTGTTCTCCTTTGCTTTTGTCTCAGCTGCACCTTTATTTCTATCTCTCGCTGGCATTGTGACTCAAGCGATCATTATATTTTTGAGAATTGTTGAATTTTGCCTGCTCAGGATTGTGAATAAATCAGCTTTGCCTTTTTAAAAGGACCTTTCTTTTTTTTAAAAAAAGATCTTTAAAAAAAAACTCCTAAAAAATTGACAACGATACTAATTTCTCATTTTGCTCAGTCTGGTTCTGTAAGAGTAAGTGCCGAGAAATTGTGACATCTTTGCTTAGAGTGGTGGCATTCTGCACTTTGTCACAAATATCTTCCGAGCTAATCCCCAGAATAATGAAGGGAATAAAATGCAACCTTGGAACCATCAAAGTAAAGAAAAAACAGATTCCGTGGGTGAAATATGTTTTTTAAAAACCCCTTTAATATCCTTCATTTTCTGTTTCAGCTGGAGAAATTCAGCATCTCGGCTCACGGAAAAGAATTGTTTGTCAATGCAGACTTATATATTGTAGCTGGGCGCCGATACGGCTTGGTGGGCCCGAATGGGTAGGTGTATTTTACTACAGCGATTATACAAGTGTTACAATGCCTCCTGAACAAAAGTATTGCGAAATGGTTTTACAAATGAAAAAAATATACCCTAACAATATGGTGAGACCATGTGGTAGTGGACTAATTGGGAGGAGTAGGGGTCCAATAATAAAATTCTGTTAGGTTGCAGAACCCACAGTGATTTTCGTCATTTGTATAATATTTCAATTTATTTATTTAGAAAATTTATGTAGCCGCCTACTCGCTCTCAGTGACTGTAGGTGGCTTACAAACAATAAAAACACAGTATAGATTTTTTTTTTAAAAAAAAAATAATAACTGCACACACATACACAGTGACAACAAACACTCATATCAGCCATTTAACAGTCTCCATCCCACTCTGGGTTCTCCAGGCCCGCTGGCAAAAATCACATCTTCAAGCCTTTACGAAAGAGTGCCAGAGTGGGGTCCAGTCTAATTTCTGAAGAGATGATGTTCCAGGGAGAGGGAGCTACTATGGAGAAGGCCTTTCTTCTGGGTCCCTCCAGATGCACCTCCTTAGGGGACGGGACCCACAACATTCCTTGCCTCCCCACTCTAGCGGATCAGGTAGATGTGACCGGCAAGAGACGGTCCCTCAGATAACACAGATAACAAGAGAAGGACGAGGGGGGACATGATAGCAGTCTTCCAATATCTCAGGGGTTGCCACAAAGAAGAGGTAGTCAAGCTATTCTCCAAAGTGCCTGAAGACAGGACAAGAAGCAACGGATGGAAACTAAGCAAGGAGAGAAGCAACCTAGAACTGAGGAGAAATTTCCTGACAGTCAGAACAATTAATCAGTGGAACAACCTGCCTCCAGAAATTGTGAATGCTCCAATACTGGAAGTTTTTAAGAAGAGACTGGACAGCCATTTGTCTGAAATGGTATAGGGTTTCCTGCCTGAGCAGGGGGTTGGACTAGATGACCTCCGAGGTCCCTCCCAACTTTATTATTATTATTACATTTGATAGGCAGAAATCCGAACTATTCCTCCCATTTTTCTACAGATAAGACATGGAAGAAGAGAAAAGTCTCCAACAGGCATCTAAAACATTTAATAAGAAATACTTCACAAATTACACATGATGATGTATTACCCCTGGAATTTCTACTACTTTATTTGATTACCCCAACATTTGGAAAAAAACACAACATTTTGACTCTAATTTGTCCAATACTAGTATCTTGCTCGGAAAACCACTCTGAAAGGGGAAGTTGGTAGATTTCTCCTCATGCACCTTCCATGTTCTAAAATACTTGGGAGAGACTTTGCTGGTCAACTCCAGTGCCTCTTTCGTCTGATCTCTGTCCTTCTTTTCAGGAAGGGCAAAACCACTTTGTTGAAACATATTGCTAACCGGGCCTTGAGCATCCCTCCCAACATTGATGTACTGCTCTGTGAACAAGGTAAAGGAATAACAGGGGGAAAAAACAGCCAAGCAACTCTTGGGCTCATTGACCCCATTTTGGGGAGAGGGATTAAAACTTCTCTATGTTGCTGGGCCAATCAGGTTTGAAATCTAGTGCCCGGTTGTAGCATGCCGGTCAGTTTTCTCTTAGGCAGAGCGCACTTTCTGTCGTTTCTCACTTTAGACCAGGGGTCTCCAAACTTGACAACTTAAAGACTTGCGGACTTCAACTCCCAGAATTCCCAGCATGGCTGGATGAGGAATTCTGGGAGTTGAAGTCCACAAGTCTTAATGTTGCCAAGTTTGGAGATCCTTGGTTTAGACCAGGGGTAGGCAACCTCGACTCTTTTATGACTCGTGGACTTCAACTCCCAGAATTCCTGAGCCAGCCATGCTGAGGGGAAAGGGAGAGGTTTCCAAGCAGAGCCATGCTGGCTCAGGAATTCTGGGAGCTGAAGTCCACCAGTCATAAAAGAGCCAAGGTTGCCTACCCCTGGTTTAGACCCTTGTAACTCATGAAACCAAGGACTTTCTGGAACTTGTGAACTAGCACCATAATCTGTGTTTAAACATGACAGGAAGCTCAGACTTTTCTGATTGGCTGTCAGATCTCTTAGCTGCCCAGTTTGCCATCGTTTGATGACATTAAAGTCCATAAACAGATAACCTCCTGCATGTGGAAGACAAGCCTATATTGCTTGTCTTTTATTGCCACCCTGTTTGCTATTTCAGGATTCAAAAAGATGTGTTCTCCCCCCCCCCCCCCCCATTTGTTTGAAAGGTTTTAGCCTTCCATAAAATCACGCTATTAGGCTCGTTGGTGCCCTGTTCACCCAGATGATCTTTCCATTTTCTCCTCTTCCTCTTGTTCCTCACAGAGGTTATTGCGGATGAGACTCCGGCAGTCCAAGCGGTGCTCAAGGCTGACACCAAGCGACTGAAGCTGTTGGAGGAGGAGAAGCATCTGCAGGCACAGCTGGAGAAAGGGGATGATGCAGCAGCAGAACGCCTGGAAAAGGTATGCAGGAGCCATGATGGGCTTTTTATCCCGGATGTGGGAACAGGTTGCCCGTGATTCATTGACAGGTAGTTCTCGACGTGCGACTGGTCACTTAGCAATTGTTTGAAGTGACATCAGACCTAACAGCTCTCCCCCCCAAACTCTGGCTCTGGCCCACATTTTTGATGATTTGCAGCGTCTTGCGGTCACATGGCCACAATTTATGGCTTTTTTTGCTGGAAACTACCATTTACTTCTGGTTTCTAGCAAAAAACACCCATTCTGGATAATGGATTCGCATAGCAACTGTGGCAACTCACTTAGTCCTACCTTAGCCACGAAAGCCGGCCGGGTGACTTGGCTCCACTCAATCTCTCTCAGCCCAACTTACCTCAGAGGGTTGCAGTTGTGGGAAAAATAGGAGGGAGGGAGGTGTGTTGGATATGTTCACCACCTTGAGTTGTTTATAAAAAAAAATAATAGGCAGGTTATTGAATAAATAAATAGCAGCTACAAGCCCTGCTGGGCCAGTTTGGTATCACTGTGATGAGGAGACAGGATGTCTCTCAACATCAGTGGCAGGGAATATGAAATGGACAGAGCCTTTGTTCGTAATACTGTGGGTGTCAGTTGAACTTGTCTAGGAAAGGATGTTGGACTAAGTCGAATAGGCAACCTTGGCTCTTTTATGACTCGTGGACTTCAACTCCCAGAATTCCTGAGCCCGCATGGCTCAGCTTGGAAACCTCTCCCTTTCCCCTCAGCGTGGCTGGCTTAGGAATTCTGGGAGTTGAAGTCCACGAGTCATAAAAGAGCCAAGGTTGCCTACCCCTGGACTAAGTAGTCCAGACTTTCCCAACCTGGTGGCCCCGGATGTGTTGAGATGGCCACTCTCAGAATTTTCTAAAGTTTTTAGGGAATTGAATAAAAAATGTTAATAGAATTGAAGGCCCTGTCTCCATCCTATCCTAACCCTGACCTTAACTCTAGCACCTGGAACGGCCTGTTGTTCTTACATGCCCTTCCTATTCTTCCAGGTCTATGAGGAACTGCGGGCGACAGGAGCAGCGGCAGCAGAGGCCAAAGCTCGGCGAATCCTGGCTGGGTTGGGCTTCAACCCTGAGATGCAGAATAGGCAAACCAAGAAATTCTCCGGAGGTTGGCGCATGAGGGTCTCCTTGGCCAGGTAATTGTTGAAAGCTGAAGGATGGGAAATAACGTGGTAACTACTCCAAAGCAATCCACCCAGTTCACCACTTTCCTTATATTAGTCCGTCCTAAGCTGGCTCCCTCTGGATGGTTATGCTGGCTTCAGATGATGAACGCTGCATTTTAACACATCTGGAGAAGACCAGTTTGAGAAGCCTTCTGCTGGATAGACCAATGTTTGGGCTTGATAAGAAGCACCTTCCAAACCCCTGTTGGTCTTCCTAAAAGTAATGGGAGAGATATTGTCTTGGTTTTTAGTAGTAGTAGTAGTAGCAGCAGCAGTAGTAGTAGTAGTAGTAGTAATAAAGTTGGAAGGGACCTTGGAGGTTATTGAGTCCAACCCCCTGCTCAGGCAGGAAACCCTATTCCATTTCGGACAAATGGCTGTTCAGTCTCTTCTTAAAAACTTCCAGTGTTGGAGCATTCACCGCTTCTGGAGGCAGGTTGTTCCACTGGTTAATTGTTCTGTCAGGAAGTTTCTCCTTAACAAATCCAAAACTCAAGAAACTCTCTTATGGCTTTGTATCCAATCCTTTTTTTGATAGAGAGAGAGAAAAAAGACACTAATATAACTGTGTCAGTAAGTGTGCGATGGTTGTTGATAACATTATCCAGGGCCTATGGGTATCCAGTTGGGAATAATTGCTTTAGCTAGATTGCCCTGAGTAGATCAGAGACCATTTCTCTGATTGCAACTGAGCATGCATTTGATAAACTAATCTTTCCTTCCTGTTCTTTTCTTCTCCCCCATCCCTGCCTCTCCTTAAATGGAATTCTTTTTTTTCCTTTTTTTTTTTTTGCTGGTTGCTGGGCTTAAGATTCTGTAGCATTTCTTCTATGTCGCTTCTGCTCAGTGGGGCATCAACGCCCTTTCTGCTCTGCTCCCTCACTGCTTCTTCTGTCTCCTTCCTTGAGTCTCAGATACAAGCAGTCCTCAAATTACAGTTGGTGACTTACCAAGCGTGCAGAGTTATGATGGACTCTGAAAATAGGACTTCTGACCCAATCATTTCTTTTTTTTTTCAGAGCCTTGTTCATGGAGCCCACATTGCTGATGCTTGATGAACCTACCAATCACTTGGATCTCAATGCGGTCATCTGGCTTAATAAGTAAGTCACCAGCTAAGCATCCCAGGAAGTCAGTGGCTCTGGGTTTAAGTCTCCTTCGAGTTGTGGGACATAGTTACAGAGCAGATAAATACCTTGGCAAAATCCCAGAAGAACATAGTAAAGGTGTATGTCTGGGCCACGTGTAAACAAAATCTCTTTTACCTTTTGTTTCTCTTAATGACGCTGCAAGTGGTTCTAGCAGCATATAAAGAGATTGCGTACACATTTGCAAAATTTATTGTCTATAATGTATTATTACATGCCATCTTTTGTTTCATTAAATCAATTTCTAACCTGCCTTTCCATCTGTTAACAGGGCAGCTATCAGTAGTATTTAGTAGTATTTAAAAACAAATGTATATATTTGAATATTAGGCCAAATATAGCAGATGCTAATATCTTAGCTGAATGAAACGGAAATAATGAAATATATTATTCAGGGCTCTTTTCTGTAACACTAGTTGCATCATTCTCATATTTACATTCTCGATCACATAGATATATCTCAGAGTGAGAGGAGTTAGAGCAGTGTTTCTCAACCTTGGCAATTTTACGATGTGTGGACTTCAACTCCCAGAATTCTCCAGCTAGCGTTGCTAGCTGGAGAATTTTGGGAGTTGAAGTCCACACATCGTAAAGTTGCCACGGTTGAGAAACACTGAGTTAGAGTTATTGAAGTCAGTCCTAACGTAGAACAGCCCACTCTTTGTTTAGCGCAGTGGTTCTCAACCTGTGGGTCGGGACCCCATTTGGGGTCGATCGACCATTTCACGGGGGTCGCCAAGCAAGGCTGTCCGCCATTTTTTTTTGTCCGCCATTTTTTCCCCTTTTCCGGCGGGTGCCTTACCTCCCTTGGGCTGGGCCAGCTGGTGGTCGGCCTGCTCCATCTCTGCCGCTTGCCAGCTACGCCTCGGCCGGCGCAGGGAGCGAAACCACGCATGCGCGGCGCTCCCGGGCAGGGAAAGTCCTCGACTTACGACCGGTTGGGTAGTCCTCGACTTACGACTGGTTTAGTCCTCGACTTACGACCGGTTTAGTCCTCGACTTACGACCGGTTGGGGTTGCGGCATTAAAAAGGTTGAGAACCACTGGTTTAGCGACTATCTCAGTGACCATTCACAAATGCAACAGTAATCATAATAAAAAAAATATTTTTCAACCAATGTGCCTGACAACAAAAGCTTTCAGTGAGGAACTGATTAAGGTCCGGCCAGTTTCAGGCAGTAGTTGAGGGTTCTAGTGAATGAATTAAGGTCACAGAGCTGATGTTGTTAATTTACCTTTAACACTCTTTAGGGCCATACTGCACCATGGAACAAAGCAGCTCATGAAGAGAGATATAGCTTGTGTATGCAATCTTTCCACCCTCAAAAAAGGGGGGGAAAGTGCTCAAGCACAAGACACTGTGTGAGAGCACAAGACACTAAAATGAGATAGCAGCAATCAGCGATCTTCACATCTGTCTCTCAGTCAAGTGGTCAGTTAGTGACCATTCCACTTAACAACCAAGTTTGTGGTACCAGGAGTGTGGTCGCTAAATGAGGGGAGGGTGAAGTAGTTGTTGTAACTGTTATTATTTTAATTCCCTTCTGTTCTTCTTCTTTCAGCTACCTCCAGACGTGGAAGAAAACCCTTCTCATTGTTTCCCATGACCAGGGATTCTTGGATGATGTGTGTACAGATATCATCCACTTGGACATGCAGAAACTTTTCTACTATCGGGGAAACTATAGTGAGTAGTGATAAGGGTAAGGGAAGGTGGCTTTGTGAGATGGGCAGCTATAGGCTAAAGCATATAAGGAACGGTTGCTGGAATTGGGTATGTCTAGTTTAACGAAGAGAAGGACGAGGGGGGGAATGATAGCCGTGTTCCAATATCTCAGGGGCTGCCACAAAGAAGAGGGAGTCAAGCTATTCTCCAAAGCGCCTGAAGGCAGGACAAGGAGCAACAGATGGAAACTAGTCAAGGAGAGAAGCAACCTAGAACTAAGGAGAAACTTCCTGACAGTTAGAACAATTAACCAGTGGAACAACCTGCCTCCAGAAGCGGTGAATGCTCCAACACTGGACAGCCATTTGTCCAAAATGGTATAGGGTTTCCTGCCTGAGCAGGGGGTTGGACTCGATGACCTCCAAGGTCCCTTCCAAATCTATTATTATTATTATTATTATTATTATTATTATTATTATTATTATTATTATGCTAAATAAAATAAAGAGAGAAAGTGGCAAATACAAGAACGAGGGAACCCAGCTGGCAAGCACATAAAATGTGTAATTCTTGGATTCATAACGTGAAAAATCTGTATTTCAAGCCACAAAGTTTGAGTGTTTGCTTTTAAAATCCATTTTAAAGAAACAATTTTGAAAACCAACGTTCAGACTTCATGATTTCAAATATAGATTTCTACACAATGAACCCAAGGTGTTATCCTCCTTTGAAGATGTTATCTTAAAATGACCCATCCACTTTGAATTAAATGTCAAACGTTTTGAATTGCTGGGTGTTTTTGATGAGTGAGAAAATGCCCAGTGTTGCAAGCTGCTATGCTTCCTCAGATATTGATCCGGTTCCCTGGAACATTACTTAATACTGCTGTATGTGAGTTAACACTTTTTTCCTGCTTTAGGGGGGAAAAAAGCCAGGAGAGAATTTAATGTTTTGTTTGTCCCTTGAAGAGGTAGAATGAAAGGGAGTTATTGCAAAAATGACAGAAGACCCAGAGCGTGGCTGCTGGAGAAATAACTGGGATGTTGCTGTTTTAGGGGTGACCTTAACTTGAATAAGTTGCTCCCTTCAAAGAGATGTATTTTTTTTTAAAACTGCTTTGGTCTGAGAGGCTGCTTTAAAGATATCGAAGTGGGTTCACGCCTGCGCGAGGTTCAAAAGACTGTTTCCAAATTATTTCTAGGTCCTAAGCAAAATTCATTATGGGCTCATCAAATCTACCCCCTTGCCAAATTCTCTGCATTACAAATAATCCTCAACTTATGACCACAATTGAGCCAAAATCTTCCATTGCTAAGCAAGGCAGTTGTTAAGCAAATCACGCTCCATTTTATGATCCTCTTTGCCACCTTTGTTAAGTGAATCACTGCAGTTGTTAAGTGAATCATGTCATTAAGTGAATCTGGCTTCCCCCATTGACTTTGCCTATTGGAAGCCGGCTGAGAAAGTTATAAATCGGTGCCACTGTCATAAGTACGCGCCAGTAGCCAAGTGCCCAATTTTTTATCCTTGGGCATGCTACAACGGTCATAAGTGTGAAAATCAGTCATAAGTCTTTTTTTCAGTGCTGCTGTAACTTTGAATGGTGGTAACTTGAGGACTGCCTGCAGTCCCTAGTCCAGAGGTAGGCAACCTTGGCTCTTTTATGACTCGTGGACTTCAACTCCCAGAATTCCTGAGTCAGCATGGCTGACTCAGGAATTCTGGGAGTTGAAGTCCACGAGTCATAAAAGAGCCGAGGTTGCCTACCCCTGCCCTAGTCCATTTTTTTCCTCAAAACATAGGAACTTTAAAATGTGTGGATTTCAACTCCCAGAGTTCCCAGCCAGCTATGCTCTAGGAATTAAAAATCCACACGTCCATCTTAAAGTTGCCAGCGTTGAGAAACACTGTCCTAATCAAATAGATTGATATGCCAGAAGGACAAAGGAGGGGCCTGGTGTGGGTGAAATAAACTGAGATTTGGATCCTAAAAATGAATTAAAATATATTTTAGAGCCGAAATAATCAATGGAAGCTTCAGATCTTTAAATGCCTGAAGTTGCGATCTTACAGGGAAGGGAGATCTGAAGTAGCCAGGAACTCACTGAATATGTTCCTCATCATCCTGTTCTTTTTTTTTTTTTTTTAAGCATTTGTCCTTTCCTCTGGAGTCTGGTTGATGGCTTGGTGGCCTTTTTTATTTTTTTATGGTAGATTTACTTGTTTTACTACAGAGTCAGGACCAATTGTAAATTAACAAGCAGAAATCTGCTTTCAGGATCTGGGTCAGTCATCAGGGCCAAGAGTTTAGTCGTCTGAGCTTTCAGACTGGTGCTACAGTCCATCCTCAGGGAACTTCTCTCTAGCAGAGTGTCAACAGGAGTGCTGATTTACCACCAGCTTATCAAGTAGAACTAAGGAGAAACTTCCTGACAGTTAGAACAATTAACCAGTGGAACAACCTGCCTCCAGAAGCGGTGAATGCTCCAACACTGGAGGTTTTTAAGAAGAGACTGGACAGCCATTTGTCCGAAATGGTATAGGGTTTCCTACCTGAGCAGGGAGTTGGACTTGATGACCTCCAAGGTCCCTTCCAACTTTAGTAGTAGTAGCAGTACTTAGGCAGTGAGGGCTTGGTAGCACAAGGAAACAACAGCCAACACTTACCGTGTTTCCCCGAAAATAAAACCGGGTCTTTTTTTTTCCCTCCAAAGGAGGCACCAGGTCTTATTTTCGGGGTAGGCCTTACCTCACCTCCGGCACTGACAGCCCCACCCAGCCGGTCCACTTCTTCTGGGCTCCAAGTTCTGCAGCTGCATTCGGGCCTGCATTTTGCAGTCAGGTCTTTCCAGAAGGCCTAAGCAGCCGAGTCCCGAGCTATGTGTTCAATCCATAGCTTGGTGCTCAGCTGCTGAGGTCTTGCAGAACCGAGCTACGGATTGAATCCATAGCTCAGTTCATGGCTGCAAAGGCCTTCCGGAAAGCCCTGTGACTGAGAAATGCAGGCCTGGCTGCTGAAGAGGCCGCAGAAGAAGTGGGCCGGCATGGAGAGGCCTGGCTGCAAGATAAATGGGTGTGTGGTGGGTGGGGTAGCTCCACACCCCCACCCTGGCTTGATTTTTAGGTGTGTGCCGTGCCCCAAAACTAGGGCTTATTTTGGGGATAGGGCTTATATTAGGCCCACCCCAAAAAAATCAAGCTAGGGCTTATTGTTGGTGTAGGCCTTACTTTCGGGAAAACACAATAATAGCCAGCCATCAGCACCTCAATCAACATCTAAAAAGCCACATGCAACAGGT